CTGCAGAGTCCATTCGTGCCCTGTGGGTATCTAGACTCTGGTGAGTGAGTACAAGGTGCCCTTCACACCTCACACATTCCTGCAGCTTTTCTGGGACACAGAAGAGAATGCTGCATGTTTGGCCCACCCTTCCTGCCCTGCACCTTTGAGTTTGCTTTGGGTGTTGTCAGACCTGCAGAAAAGATGTCAGGAGGAGGTGGCCTTTGGGATTGAACCTTTTGCTGTTACCTCCTATGGGTGTTTGTTGGAAGAGGAAGTGGGGTAGTGGTTTAGAAAGATCCCGAACTCCATCTCCAGCAACAGTGATTTCTGACCCCAGTGGAAGCCCCTGATGGGAGTGGATATGAGCCTCTTGTCCTAGGTAGAGTGATGCTGGGCAGATTGTCCTGGGATGAAAGCACCCTGCTCAGCTAGTTTCTGGTGCAGATTTCTCCTTACATCTGTGTCTGTCTACACTCCATTCAGCTGTTCAGTGGGTTCATAGTGCAGGTTCACTGTGCGTGCCTAGTCCCATTGCTAATGAAAGTAGACTTTGTTCTCTGGAGGCAGCTAATCGTGCCCCATGGGGCTGTAATCAGGGAGAAGGTATTTAATACAGGGCAGGCGGCAACAGGCGGCCTGTACTGACTAGCAGATTGCAACATGGCAATTAGGAAGCTATCACCCCCTTCCACCCCAGCAGATATGGGGTAGAGTCTCCTGTGAACTGATTCTGAGAAAGTGAAGCATGATTGCTATGCAGAAGAAGAAGGTGGCTGGCAGGGTGGGGTGAGAAAAGCGGCTTTCCCCTCTCACCTCACTTTCATGAAGGGGCTAGGGGATCCCTGCTCCTTTGAGAGCTCCCCCGGGTGGGCCAGTCCAGGGTAGCCAGGGTTTAACCCTAGACCTCAGCCGTTCTGCATGGCACAACTAGTCTTGAAGTTATAGTACACCATGGGGTAGCTCACATTCTGGTGATCATCTTGAGTCTCAGGTAGTTTGGGGTGTAGTATGAGTAGATTCTTCCTTGTCAGCTTCCAGACCTTCCTCCAGATGACCATCTTGGAGGCAGCTTAGCACCCAGAATTTCCCAAGGCTGTCACTGACAGTGGCTTGCTTATCATGCCCCCTGTCTGTCTCTGTGTTGTCTAGCTGCTGTCCCCAAAGTGCTGGCAGTCCTTCTTGGGCTGAAACTCTCCAAGGCAGCCTGGGAGAACTTTGGGAGGAGAGAAGAGGCAGCACTGATAGTGGGGTCTTCTGGAGAGACTGCTCTGCTGCAGGTGGGCCTGAGTGTCAGCTGGTTTTTTATGTGTTCTCCACTCCCCTCCATTGCCCTTCTCTCTGCCTCTGTGCCTCCCTGCCTTGCAGCGCAGACGATGTAGATTGGGCTAGTGCTGGGATTGTGGGCCCCTTGTGAATTGGGTACTTAGTAGATTTCAGGAGTTGGAGATAGGGCCTGGGTGTCTGACATTTATGGATGTGAGGTAGGGAGTCCCACATGTTTTCTCGTGGACTTGTGTTGGGGTCGCTGCCTGCTTCCTGGGGGACTGGATCCCTAGTGAGCCTTGCCTTTGGTTCTTCAGGTGGGATAGTGGTTCTTCTTCTTGGGATTTGGAAGCATTTGAAAAGAGAAGACTCTACTTGGGATGCCCGCCACCTCCACAACCATTTCCACAGTGTTCATGCTCCCCTCTGCAAGGCAATTTCTCTAACCAGGAAAGCTCTGGGCGTATGTGCTCCAGGATGGTGGGTGGGGACATAGAGTCAGGGGCATTTTTAGTAGATGAGGCATGGGGAGCTGTAAGTTATGTGGCAACTAGAGCCAGGGCTGTAGGACATGGAATGTGGCAGCTCTCTTACAGTTAGAATTACCAGATGCCTGAGCTCACATAAGAGTCCTGGTGCCTTGAGGACAGTGTGGGCATTGGGAGGGACAAGAAAGTCAAGGAGGGACTGAGGGATCAAGGGAGGGTGCACAAAGGGGCCTGCAGGGAGCTCATGGGGGAAGGAGCAGGGACTGGACCAGCTAGTGGGAGCCTCCCCTAGAGTTTGTGAAGGCCCTTGACTACCTATCTCTTCCCCTATATCTCTAGTCCCATCCACCCTTTTTCCAGCTCACACCCACTCCCTTTGTCTGAGTATCAGACCCCAGGCACCCAGGCTGCTTTGAGACTTCCCAGCCCTGTCCTCCAGCCATAGCCCTACCTTGGAACCTCTGGAGGGACCGCAGGGGAACCTGTGGGGGTGACTTGTTTGCTCCCCCATACCCCAGGAATGTGCTATGCTTTCAGACCCGCCCAGATTCCAGCGCAGGGAGTCAGGCCTACATGGCATGCTGCTTGTGCCCTGTGGGGACACGTTCTGCCTCACCATCAAAGGGGCGGAGGTTGGCGGCTCGTGCCCAGGCTGCCACGCCCCAGCTCCTCGAGAACCCTGAGCCAGGGACCCAGTTGCCCAGACGGGAGGCTACTCCCTCTGCCCCTCCGCCCGCACCATCCTTCTTCCTGCTCTAGGCCCTGTTGGAATGTGACAGGAGTCATGGCCAGGGCATGTCCCGACAGTGGAACACATGCTTCAGCCTAAAAGGCTTCCCTCAGCCCCAACTCTGTTTAGGTAGATGGGGGTGGAGAACAGATTGTTTTTATGCCCAGAAGGCCACTTAAGGTTACTGCTGCTGCTGATCCCCATGGTGGCTGCTGCCCCCGTGCTGCTGCCCTGCTTATTACAGCTGGGGGCCTGGAGGGGACCTCACACTTCCATCAGCCCAGCCACTTCTGTGGAGAGGAGGAACAGACTTATCCAGGGCCACATAGTGTGTCAGAAGTGGCATTGAGCCTGTAACCCAGGCATCTCAGCTCGCTAGACTGCTGTTTGCTCTACCCCAAGGTTTTTCACCCTCAATGTTGTTGACATTTTGCACTGATAATTATTTGTTGTGAGGGGCTGTGCATTGTAAGATGTTTAGCAGCATCCCTGACGCCATTATCTGCTTTGCCCCATTGTTGTGAAGTGCCATCAAATTGGTTTTGACTCATAGTGACCCTGTGTAGGATTTCCAAGAAGCAGCTGGTGGGATTGAACCACTGACCTTGCAGTTAGCAGTCCGGTGATTATCCTACAATGGCACAGCAGATGTCCTGTTTTAATTACCTAGTGCTGTGATTGTTAGGTGTCTTTGTGTCGGTTCTGACTCGTGGGGACCCTGTGTATCACAGATGCCCAGTCCTGTGTCATCCTCACAAGCCCATTACTGCTGCTGCTGTGTCAGTCCATCTCACTGAGGGTCATCTTCTTTTTCACTGACCCTCACAAGCATGACTGGTCTCTCCTGACAACATTTAATGTTGCTATAATAGAAATATCGTTAAGTAATGTAATGGCTTTAATAAGCAGAAATTTCTTTCTTCACAGTGCAGGAGGCTAGAAGTCTGAATTCAGGGAGCCAGCTCTAGGAGAAGGCTTTCTTTTTCTGTCAACTTTTGGGGGAAGGACCTTGTTTCTTGGCTTCTCAGTGATCTTCGTGTAGTGTGGCCTCTACTTTCCTCTATCTCTGCTTCTCTGCTTGCTTGTTTAATCTCTTTTATTATCATACATATCAAAGACAACCACAGGCATAGAGGTTAGGATTCACAGCACATATTTTTGAGGGCCACAATTCAGTCCCTAACACTTCCTTGATGCAAAGTTTGTTGACCATTCCTGTGTATAGGAGGCTTTAGGTTTCTTGCTAGGGAAGAGGAGCTTTTGATTTCAGCATCTTTCTACCCATCTTCCTGTATCTCTTCTAGGTTTTTCCCTGGGATTTCTTTTGCAGCTCATGTCCCACAACTCTCTTAGTTACTTTAGACCCTGGGAGGCCTGTGAGGTGGACATGGCAGATATGGGGTGAGGATAGGGACAGGACAGGACTGGACCTCTTCCAGAGTTGGCTGTGTGATAAGCTGAGACCTTAGACTCATACACAGACATGCACAGCTCTGTCGTCTGGGCCTGGGACAGTGCCTGCCTGGAGAAAGGCAGGACCCCAGTGTGTCCAGTCCTCTCCTTGCCTCTACATTTCTCCCTCACTCCCTCTGCTGCATGACGCTCTTGCCCGGCTCTCCCTAAGGGTCTTCTAGGTCCTGAAGTGGGCAGGCAGGCCTGTGGCATTGACAGACACGTGGCTGACACCTGGTTTCCACTTTCTTCCTTCTCTGGTTTCAGGAGCTGTTGGCTAGAGGAAGTGGAGAGGCCGTGGGATGCGGAGAGCCGAGGGCTAACTCCTGGACAGCGGAACAGAGGAAGCTGCCGACAAATAGACGGTATGTCCTTAATGAGGCTTGTGCCCCTCTCCTAGCTCTGCTCTGGGGAGGCTGGCAGGTGAGGGGACAGGCCTCTCTTGGTGGGGGCTGGTGAAGAGAGGTGGAAGCCACAGGGGCTCAACTTTCTGTGGCCCTGACCAGAGACAGCTTGGAATCCCTACTGAAGAGCCTGTAATGAGTGAACATCTGTAAATTCTTATTACTTATAAGTGAATATTTATGGAACATTTTCTAAGTAACAGACAATTTTTAGTGCTTTACATTAGTTAACTTGCTTAATCTTCACAATAACTCTATGCAATTGATGCTATTCATATCTCCAATTTAGAGTTGAGGAAACTGAAGCATAGAAGACAAATTTTCTTCTCTGAGGTCTTTAAAGGAGAGTGGTGGGATGCTCTTGAGACTTCCTGCCCCAGCTCTTAGGACATAACCCTGGACTCTGTCCTGGGCCTCATAGTCAGCTTTTGCCTTTCTGTTTCTTGTAGGCCCCATGCCCCACCTTTCCTCACTCTCCTGACCCCAGGAGATGGACATAGTAAAGTCTGGTCCTTCTAGTGTCACCAGCAGTACCCAAATTTGCTCAAGGAGTGGCTCCTACATATGTTCCCTCTAACCATCTATCTGTCTTTTCTCAGCTTAACGGCTTCTTGACCACATCTCTGAGCCTCCTCCTTTCTTGCTTTCCCTCAGCAGGTTGAGGAGCACTTACCTCCCAGAATGAGCTGTGCAGCCCCAGCTAAGAAACCCTATCGTAAGGCACCACCTGAACACCGGGAGCTGCGTGTGGAAGCCCCTGGTTCCCGACTTGAGCAGGAGGTCAGCAAGACTGGTAGTTTAGCCCTGGCTGGCAGGCAGAGGCAGGCCCCTGAGCCTGGGTACCTGACTGACTCGTCTCTCCTAACTGAAATATGCCTGGGGTCTCCTAGCTGAAGCAGTGCTCAGGGAGGCAGTGGAGGCTTGTAGGGGACATCTGTGATCATCTCTCCGTGTTTTATCAAATCGCAGAGTCTGTAGCTCAGCAGAAGTGATCCTGCCTGTAGTCTTATTCTCCCTTCAAGAGGCAGCCCAGTGGGAACTTTAGACCCAGAGAGGGAGAGGGGCTGTGTGCTGACAACTGGGGGGGGCAGGCTTGCGGGGTATATATGCTTTGGTTGTTGATGACACATAGAGGGGATTGTAACCATGGCAATGAAACAATATACGTTAGGGTGAATGTAAAACTCATGTTTTCCCATATAAACTGTTACATAATTCACAATAAAACATCCGGAAAAAAAAAGAGGCAGCCCAGCAGGAGTGTGTACTGCCGGGCCCCACATCCTGCTCTGGTGGAGGAGAGCCATTCAGCCTGCATTCCCTGTGGAGGTTGTGAGGAGACAGGCTCCTGCTATACCCCACTGGACCAGCTGCTCTCTTCACTGTCCCCAGGAAGTCGGGCCCTTCCTCCAGCCATGCTTTGTGTGGCAAATATTTGTGAAGTATGTGCACACTGCCAGGAACTGTGTTAGAGCCAGCCTCTGCTCTTAGGAGGCCTGTAGTCCACTGTGCAACATTCTCCAAACTGCTTATCCTCCCTCACCAAGTTTACCAGAGGGAGGACATGCGTGTTGCAGTGGAGCAGTCCCTTTGCGGCATACTTTCCCCAATATTGCACCTGTAAAGAACTTGAGAGAGAGTCAACAGATGCTAAGCATTTGGCATACCATGCCCACTGTGGTCAGGTTCAGTGCAGAAATGCTATGCCTTTTGCCTGTTACTGTTCAGGGATCAGTGGGCATTCTCCTAGTTTTATAAATGAGGAAACTTAAGTGAGATTAAGGACTCTGTTCAAGGTCGTGTAACCAGTAATTGGTGTCGGGTGCCAGAGTCTCTGATCTTAACCACTACCTGGTCTTGGCCATCCACCCTCATCTCCCTGCCTGTGACTTGTGTTCTGAAGTAGTCAGCCCAGTTTGGACTGGGACCCTTGCTGTTTCCCTCTTGCCATTGCACTTGGGTTAGCTGAGCTCTGATTCTTGGGCCATGAACAGCATAAGAGTTGGGGAGGATGGAGTGGGAGGCTAAGAGCAAGACAGGATGCTCTTCTTGTCTGTCATGATTAGCCCAGAGGTTCCCCTTCACCCTTGCACTGCACCTTCTGAGCCTTTGTATGATCCTGATTGCAATTCTGTCTTCCCCCCAGGGGGCTGGGAGGACTTTGTCTGAGTTCAGAATCCTATAGTGTAGCCTGATCTCACTCCTCTGGAAGGTCAGCCATGCCTGTGTGAAAAAGCCCAGTGAACAACAAAAGTCCCTTTATCCCCAGGGCTAGAGAGAGGTAGTATGTTTACTGGAGCCCATTTGCAAGTGGCTTTAGGATTAAAAGAGGATTTGGAGCTCATGTGGATAAGGGCAGAATTGAAAGGGGTTCTTGTATCTTCTCATTGCCATGGGAGAGAGTAGTCTAATCTTGTATGGACATTCGTGGTTGCTTCTTCCATTTCTGCAACTTACCCTGCTTTGAGAGCCTTTGGGTTTCAGACAGGGCCCTTTCTAGGACTGTTTGGAGGGTAAGCCAATCAGGAGGCTAGTGGCCCAGAGCTAAGCCTCCAGCTTCTATTTTTTTTTTTTTGTCCAGGAACTGCTGACTGATGCAGAGAGGATGAAGTAAGTAACTGCTGCCCTGCTTCCCTCCACCCTTGTCCTCTTAGCTCCAGGCCAGGTTGTTGATACAGTGGGGATTTTCCTTAAATTAGGAAAGGCAGAGTATTGTATTTTGGGGACTCTGGGAAGAGGATCAATGTTGTGGCTATTCCTTCTAGAAAAGGGACTCTCAGAGAACCTGGAACCAGGAGGTGGCTCACTTGAAGGGCTCTTCACTTGCTAAAGAGCTTTTGCCCAGCTCCTGGCCCTAGAGAGAGCAGAGGGGGCCCTCTGCCAGCTGCCTCCCTGAGGTCACCACGTGAGGCCTCTGGAGAGTAGAGCAGTGCCAGGCTGGATTTCCAGGAGATTAATAATGGAGAAGCCTGATTGTGCACTGAGGAAACTGGAGCTGGAGGGCTTGGTGGCCGGCTGGTTTGGGCTGTAACCAGAGACTGAGATGGGAGTTGCACCCCTCAATTCAGTCTCCTCATTCTTATCCAATGGGGGAGGGGTGGGGAGGGCTGTCCCCTACCAGCTCCTCTGCCTGCCCCCACCCTCGAGCCCAGATTGTTGTCAGGGCCAGCAGGCCTTTGGCATGTGCTGCCCCAGACTCAGGGCAAGTTTCAGGGAGTCCTTTTTCCCCCAGTGGCTCTCTTTCTGTCATCCTTCCTGAGCCTAGCCTGGCCCTGCTGTCTCTGATGCCTGTTCTGTCCTGGACTCCCCACCAGACTCTTGCAGCAGGAGAATGAGGAGCTTCGCTGGCGCCTGGCCTCAGCCACTAGACGCACTGAGGCCCTGGAGCGTGAGCTGGAAATTGGGCAGGACTGCCTGGAGCTGGAGCTTGGCCAGAGCCGCGAGGAACTAGACAAGTTTAAGGACAAGTTCCGCAGGTGTGGGAATGAGGGGCCAGGATACACAGCCCATTCATAGAAAGTTAGCTAGAAAGGGCTCAGAGATCATGTGATTCCAGTGAGAAAATAGAATTTCAGAGAGCCATTGTGAGACTGGGCAGAGCTGCACCTAAAGAACCAGATCTTGACCCAGAGGCCTACCCTGTTCCCTCTGCAGGCTGCAGAACAGCTACACGGCCTCCCAGCGGACCAACCAGGAGTTGGAGGACAAGCTGCACACACTGGTAACCTGCCCAGCAAGGCTGTGTGGCTGGCACTGTGCTCATGGCAGAGTAGGGATCTAGGCCTTGCCAGGAAATGCCAGTCTGTGCTCAGAGACTTGGGAAGGAGCTGGGGGCTGGGGTCACGGTGGGGAGGGGACTGCAGTATGCTGTGCGAGTCCGGACTGTCTTAATGCTCACACTGTTTCTCTTCTCTCCTGTATCCCCCTCATGCTGCCAACGTTGCTGCTGCACTCTCCTCTAAGGCCTCTCTTAGCCACAGCTGGATTTTTGCAGTTGCGTCTGAGTTTGTGTGTTTTCTCCCTTGCCCTGGCCTCCTTTTTAGCCTAAACTGGGATTGTAGGGGCCCTGGCTGTTTGGACGGCACTCATCCCTTTCCTCTTCCCTGTTTGAGGCCCATGCCTCCTTCCCGGGGACAGCTGGGGAGCCTGATCCTAGCTCTTGCAGAGGCACTGATGGATGTCACCCCTGCAGTGGCAACAGGCCCAAGCCAGTGTTGGTGGGGTTTTTTTGGTGGAGAGAGGAATTCAGTCAGCTGAAGATGAGAAAGACTACCTTTTGAGTCTGTAGCTCCCTTCCTGTTCAACAAGATAATCTCACAGGCATCCCCAGCTGCCTCTCAGCCCCAGTCCCTTGTCCCACTTCTTCACCTGATCCAGGAAACAGCTGCAGACATAGGCTTCAGCCCCAGAATTTGTACAGTTAATGCCTCTGAGTATTAATACCTCTAGGTCTTTCCGGGTGCCTAGAACCCCTGGAGTTCCTGTAAGTGGGGGGGCAGTCCTTATCCAGGTCCTGGTCATGCTCAGGAAGTCCTTGCCCCTGCCCTGTAGACAGCCTCTTCTGTCTGTCCGTCATCTGTCTGCTCTCTGCCTTGGCTGCCCTAGCACCTGTGACTTCCTGTGTCTCAGGGCTGGGAGGAGGTGGAGAGGAAAGGAGGGACTGCTTGGGGTGTGAGCTGGGTTTACCATGACTTTTGTGCCTCAGATCAAGAAGGCTGAGATGGATAAGAAGACGCTAGACTGGGAGATTGTGGAGCTGACTAACAAGCTGCTGGATGCCAAGAACACCATTAACAAGCTGGAGGAGCTCAATGTATGTGCCCCACCTGCTCTGGGCCCCCAGCTGGGACCTCCCTCACATGCTCCCTGGGGCAGGGCAGCCTCTGAGCTAGCTCTATGTCTGCAGGAGCGGTACCGGCTGGACTGCAACCTGGCTGTGCAACTCCTTAAGTGCAACAAGTCCCACTTCCGAAACCACAAGCTTGCTGATGTGAGTATAGCGCACCTTCCCAGCCTTTGTAGAACTGCTCTCACCTGTTTCTGCTCCCCTCTCTCCTGCCCCTGCCTTTAATGCTCCTATTGTTCCATTTTACCTTGCCCTCATCTCCAAGTCCTCAAGACAGTCAGGTTGGCTCTGCCGCAGGCTGGTGACCCATACAATCAAGTGCCTATCACTAGGGCTTTGGGGCTGGGCAGGCTACCTTGTTGATATTTTAGAGCAAAGGCAGAGAGAGGGCCTCAGCTTCAGGGTCCCATACAGGAAGGAGGGGATGGCCAGAGTTGTCAACCATAACCCTGGATATTGAGAGATGACTAGATCCAGCTGACCCCTCTTTCCCTGAGGGCAAAATCTAGACCCTAGAGGCCCAGGCCCAAGTTGATTGAGCATGCAGAAGTGGGGAAGGCGCTTCTAAGGGTGCTGGTGAGTACAGATACTCCAGGCTTACACCTGGTTTGGGCAGAAGTCACCTCTGAGGCAGGAGAGGGCTTTGAGAGCACATGGACCTCAGAGGCAGATCAGGGTTCAAATCCTTGAGCTAATTAAATGTTTCCTCCTTTTTATTTTAACCCCTGCTGAGCCTCCACATATTTGTGAAATGCGGATGCTCTGTGTGGCATGCTGTGCGAACAGGAGACAGCATAGTGGCAGGCACAAACTGGTACTTCTACGTGCTGGGATCATTCATGCTTCTCCTCCTGTCTCCCACTCCTTTACCTCAGTTGCCCTGTGAGCTACAGGACATGGTTCAGAAGCACTTGCACAGTGGTCAAGAGGCTGCCAGCCCAAGCCCTGCCTCCAGCCTGACTCCAGGAGCAGTGGTGCCCACTTCCGTCATCGCCCGTGTGTTGGAGAAGCCAGAGTCTCTATTGCTTAACTCAGCCCAGTCAGGCAGTGCTGGGCATCCCTTGGCTGAGGACGTCTTCGTGCATGTGGACATGAGTGGGGATGCCCCCGGTGACTCAGCCAGTCCCCCAGTCCCTGGTAGCCCCGCTCCACAGCCCAATGGGGACTGCCGATCTCTGGGCACTGCTGGGGGTCCCCCAGAGGAGGAGCTGCCCTTGCCAGCCTTTGAAAAGTTGAGCCCCTACCCCACCCCATCCCCACCATACCCGCTTTATCCTGGCCGCAAGGTCATAGAGTTCTCTGAGGATAAAGTGCGGATCCCCCGCAACAGTCCCCTGCCCAACTGCACGTATGCCACCCGCCAGGCCATTTCCCTGAGCCTGGTGGAGGAGGGGAGTGAGCGAGCCCACCCCAGCCCAGTCTCCAGCAGCCCTGCCTCAGCCCAGACTTCACCCCATCATCAGGCCAGCCCTGCCCCAGCAGTGCTCAGTGCGCCTGCCAGCTCAGCTAGCTCTGAGGAGGACCTGCTGGCCAGTTGGCAGCGGGCGTTTGTGGACCGTACCCCACCACCCGCCGCTGTGGTTCAGCGCACTGCTTTTGGGAGGGATGTGCTCCCTGAGCTGCAGCGCCATTTTGCCCTGAGCCCCACTGACAGAGATGATGCAGCTCAGGCACCTTCATTATCTGGTGAGAGTGGGCTTTTACTGCCAACAGAACCTGATTCTGGCTTTCCCAGGGAGGAGGAAATGCTGAACCTGCCAATCAGCCCCGAGGAGGAGCGCCAGAGCCTATTGCCTGATGATAGTGGCCCAGAGGAGGGGCCTAGCACTTTGCACATGGAAGGCAGGGCCTGGCCACTCACCAACTCTAGTCGTCCCCAGCGCAGCCCTAAGAGGATGGGGGTTCACCACCTACACCGCAAAGACAGCTTGACCCTAGCTCAGGAGCAGGGCAACCTGCTCAATTAGACCCCCTGCTTGCCTTCCTTCCTGCTACTGCTGCACTGGGACCACCAGGAGACCCTCCACCCCTACAGTTCAGGCTCCCCACGCAGGCCCTTGCACTTCCTCCTCTGGGCCTGTGAAGGTAGGATCAGGCCTGAACCACACTAAGCCTTTCATCAGTACCAACTAACTGGCAGCGGCCTGCCTCGTGGTTTTTCCCATTTTTTCTTGGACTATTTATTCTCTAAAGGTAACATGCAGCTGCATCTCAAGACCATTCCTCCAACCAGCCTAGACTTGGGCTGCTCTGGGAAACTGAGGGTTTATTACGCCAGTGTTCTTCCTTCTTTCAGATCCACGAGTTTTCTGTTTGTTTTGTGTGTGAGAGAGGGTATGGCTGGGGTTATTAACCTTCAGTTTCTATATTCTGCTTGCTTCCCTCTCCCTGCAGATTCTCTGCAAGAGCTGTTGCCTTCAGGGGCCCTGGCACAGCTGGCTCTAGGGGCTGAGGGAGAAGCTGACTCAGGGCTCTCCTTGGCTGACTCCTCCCTCTGGAAGGGAGCATAGGGTGGGCTTCAGGGGCCTCAAGCTGGGCTGTGGGTCAGGGCCTGGCTTCCCTCCCAACCTTGGCTCTAGACTGTTACTCCCAGTTTTGGGAAAATTTCACATTGATGACTATTTTAAAATCAAATAAAACTATTTTACTGGTATTGTCTGATTGATAAATGAATGGCCACCTCTCACCCGTCTCTTCATGCTTAAGTGTTTCCAAAGGCACTTCCATCCTAGATCTTGCTAGTGATTTCTCTCTTTCTCATCTACCTGGGATTTCCCTAGGCAGTGGGAGAGTAACCTTGGGGGAGCCCTGAGTCCAGCTCAACTTTGGAGGTATGTTGTTTACCTTGGTTGTGATCTCCATGAGGTGTCACCCAGAACCAGAGGTCCTAAGCCCCAGTGTGAAAGTTTTGGAACCTGTGGATGTGGCCGAGGTTGGATGGCACTGACACCTAGTGGTGCTTTGTGGTCATTCCAATGCCTCCCCTCCTGTCAGTCCCCAGGGACCACAGTCACACACCAGGTTGTAGAGTTCATAAAATCTCTTCCGAGCCAGCGGGCTGCAGCCAAAGCTGCTAACAAGTCCAGAGGTTTTGCCTTGGGTTCAAATGCCCCCCAATGCTATCGCCCTGTTACAGCTTCCAGAGCCTTCCACCACATGGCTGGAGCTGCCTGAGCCCCAGTCACCACCCCTGCACTCCCTTCCCAAGCACCCGAAACCAGATCCTGGTATCTGGGGCAAGGTGCAGGGGACACAAGCAAATGTAATGATGGTGCAGAAGCCCAAGCAGAGGGTCACATCTCCGTCTCAGCCAACAGACTGTCCCCTAGTCCTGACGTCATTAGCACCATCTGAGAGCTGGGATCTGTGGAGGTGCAGAGGGGTGTTCAGGCCACCATTCATTCCCCCACTGGGGACCAGTCAGTAGGTGAGAGGTGGTCTGGGTTTCCCACACCCACTCTCCCAGGTACCAAGCCTCTTCCCAGCCTGACTCAGATCAACCCTTCAGGCTCTTACCACTGGGGCAAATCCAGGAGCTGTTGCCCTTCTGGTGGGCAGCAGGCTCCCGCCCTCTCTCCTGTTGCCTGGTGTTGCCAGCCCCCGCTGCCACTTCTTCCTCCTCTTCCCCCTCTGAGAGGAGGTCACAGATCTGCTGCTGTAGCTCCGGGCTAATGCTGTTCTCAGTCAACACCAAGCTTCTCAAAGCCGTGGGGTAGTTTTCTACCATGTCCAACAGAGTCTGGGGCAGAGAAGAACGTGGAAAGGATGGATTTTGAGGCAGGTCCGCAGACCCCAACTTGCTACCCCTTAGGTTTGTCCACAAACATACTGGACAATCTCCCCACTTTCTCCTCAGAATGACTTCTCACCTGAGCTGACTGGTTGGTGAGCCCTGTGCCCTCCAAGTCCAGGACCTCCAGGGTGCGGCTAGATGCCACAGCTACCGCCAACATCCCAGCCACGTGGTCACCTGGGTAGACAGCATACACTCACCTGAGAACCCTTCCTCCCAGTCAGCTTCTCCATTACCATAGCAACCTCAGATCCCACCACTAGGCCAGGAAAAGCTGACAAATAGGTAGGGGGGGGTGTCAGGAAGGGAGGAGGGTGGTGGTGATGACTGGAGACTCTGCTTGGGTTTGTGTGTTCTTCACACACGTGGTTTCTAGACTCCCTCCCAGCCAGCCCCTCCCTTTCGCCCCTCCCGGGTTACCATGACAACTAATGGTCCCAGGTTCTTTGGAGAGGTGAGGACTGGGTTAGAAGGGATTCTTGAGCCTCACCCAGAGGGTTGTAGTCCAGGTTGAGAACTCGAACCTGGGAGCTGTGGGCCACAGCAATGGCGAGGCGGCTCCAGCCTTTAGGAGTGATGCCAGGGTTGGCGCTCAGCGTCAGCTCCTTCAAGCCTAGACAGTAAGAAGCCCGTATGGGGCGGGTCAGACCCACCTCAAGCTCCTACCCTGCCCCAGTTCTCTGTACTGTCCCACTCCTAAAACAGAGTTCTCAGATTTTCAGAACCCAAGTCTCCCCGGTCCCTCACCAGGCTGGATTTCAGAGTCTGCACCCTGCTTAGCCCCCAACCCTTCCTCCGCTGGAGATTTGAATGATACTGTCTGTCATCCACTCTGCCAGAGCCCCGCTCAGGCCACGCCCCCTTCCCTGCACTGAGCTTTCCAATACCAGCCCTGCCCTCAGCAGGGCCCTGCTCACCAGACTTGGCCCCATCCGGGGGAAGGAGGCCACAGATGAGGTTGATGGCTTCGTCACCCAGCATGCAGTCCCCCAGGTCCAGAGCCACGAGGGCAGGGTGGAGGGCCAGGGCTGGGTTCAGCAAGGCCAGCCCAGCATCTGTCAGGGGGCTCCCATGCAGGCTGGGGGGGGTGAGGTGAGAGGGCAAAGGTCACCACAGTCGTCAGCTATCTCTGTAAGGGGAAAGGGCACCTCTCCTATGGGGTCCGCCCTCCCTTCTGTGAGCCCTGGGGGTGGAGAGGGTATTTAGTCACAGCATTTGGGAGAGTCTGGGGAGGAAGAAAATTCTAGATTTTAAGGGAATGAATATAGGTAAAAGAGGAATTTGCGCCTCCCCCTCCCCGCCCGTAAGGTGGGGATCCAGGACACAGACCGGGGAGGGTGAAAGGGCATGTGGTGGTGAACTGGGATCCTCTGGTGGGCAGAATGTAGGCTAAGGGCCTGTTCCTTTTTGGGAACTGTGGAGCTGTCCCGGGGGAGGGGAGGTTACGACGACGTGCGCTGCCTGGAAGGGGTGAGTGTCCTATCTCATCTGAAGTGGCACGCACGTGTGGCAAGTCCCCGTGTGGTGGCGGCATGGGCAGAGGGACGAGCTGTGTGTAGAAAGGGTGAGAAGGCAGGCTGGTGAGCAGACAGGTATGGGCAAGTGTGCCAGGAGCGAGTGGAGGGCCGCAGTGCCCGGTGCCCCCTTGCGAGGGGACGCACTCACAAGAGGGACTGGATGGAGCGGTTGGTCCGCAGCGCCTCCGCCAGCTGCTTGATGCGGCTGGGGCTGGACACGACGCCCAGGTTAAGGTTGAGCTGCGCCAGGGACGTGGCTCCGGCCAGGGCCCGGCAGATGCGGCCGAAGTCTCGGTCGCAGAGGCGGCAGCCGCGTAGTGAGAGCAGGCGCACGGCGTTGTCGCGCAGGCCGCGGCAGATGTCCCGCACCTCGGCGCCTGACAGCGGCTCCCCCGATATTTGGATGGAGCTGGGTAGCATTATGCCTGCGGTTGGGCCGCCGGAGCCGGGGTTTGAAGGGCCGTGGGCGGGGTTGGGGCCGAGGCTGCGGTCGGGGACGAGGCTGGGGCCGGGGCCTTGGACGGATCGGTGGCGGCAGCGGTGGCAGAGGCGGTGGCGGCGGCGGCTGAGGTGGTCGCGGCGGCTGAGGTGGCAGCGGAGGAAAATGAGGTGGAGGCTGAGGCACAGAAGGGCGCCGGAGCCGGCGTGGAGGTCGCCGGCCGGGCTGAGATTGAGCGGCGCTGGAACCAGGGCGGACCGTGCCGTCCGTGTCTGGGCGGCGGGTTGGGGCGCACGGTACCGGGGTCGAGCGGGCGGTGCTCCGCGCTTGTCCGGGTCCCCCGCGGTTGCGGCGGCGACGGCGGCTTAGAGGCCTCGGTTTACAGCGTGCGGGACCGTCCCCGATCGGAGGCTGTACTCGTTCGCGCCCTCTTTATGGCCCGGCTCCCCCTACCGCCCGGGAACCCGGGCCCAGGAGCCGCAGTGAGAGCCCGGCGCGAACAGGCGGGCGGCAGGCAGCAGCTCCGGCTCTAGCTTGGTCTCCAGTGCCGCTGCTGCCGGCTCGTTCCCATGGCAACCGTCGCGTCATGGCCGCTAGCTCCGCCCCCTGTCCGGTTAGGCCACGCGGGACCAAGAGGTTAGCCGACACCGGGTGGTTTCCGGCCAGGACGCTCTTCTGCGAGTGGGGTCAAACGACAGGCAGAAAGAAGACAGCAGGGCTGAGCCCACAACGGGCAAGGTGAGAGTGAGGGGAGGAATGAAGGATCCTCATGTGAAGATGGAATTTAAGACCATTACTGTCTTTCCCTCCATTCTCGCGTCGTTTTTTTCATTGCTAAGATCCATACTGTCGGTATCACCACCGGGATGCAAGACACTCCCTTCCCACCTGTTCGCAAGCCCCTAGGACCCCTCAGTCTCTCGCCCTGCCCCTGCTTCCTCCTTCCCGTGACGCGAGGCGCGGCGTGCGTGGGGATTCCGGCTCATGAGGACTTCCCTCCTGCCACTCGTCAAAATGGCAGCCTGGAAAGGACCCAGTAGACCTGCCTGGCAAAAGCCGGCTTGAGCTGCCAGGAACTAGGGAACCTTAAAGGGTCCCAGAGCGGTAAGACGCAGGTAAAACGGAGGATCCTAAGGCCATTTCCCCAGGTACTTAAGGCCCTATTGATGCCGGGAGGTCGTCTGGGAAAGCCAAAATAAAGGAGGTGCCAGGATCACA